CTGGAATATTTGCAGCAGTTAAAATGGTACATCACAAATATTTGCTGAAATGGAAAGACATTCTCTGTTTATATATATATACTAGTTGAGAAGGAAAAGCAGGTTTCTGGGGTTATTCCCCTCACTAAAGGTCCCAGCCCGCAGAGGGTGGGAAGGGATAGACTGGGATTTCAAAATTGTAGAATAGATTAACAAGCTTATACTGTATAGCACAGGGAAATACATACAAGATCTTATGGTAGCTCACAGAGAAAAAAAAATGTGACAATGAATATATATATGTTCATGTGTAACTGAAAAAATTGTACTCTACACTGGAATTTGACACAACATTGTAAAATGATTAGAAATCAATAAAAAAAAAGTTAAAAAAAAATAAAAAGGTCCCAGCCCGTGACATGGGGTACTCAGTGCACCACCCCGTCCCATCCCAATCCCTGGAGTTATTGGGGAGCTTTAATTTCTTCTTAGTACAGCTGGCTCTGTTTCCTTATTTCCATGAAATTCTCCATTTCCCATCTGCCTCTCACCTCCTGCACACTGTCCTGTTTCCCCTGTACTGTCTCTTGGGAAGACCCCTTATTCCTTCACATGGCCAGTGCCACCCGCTGGACTCACAACTTGACTGATACTTGGGGCAAGGGGAGCATTCATGGTGTGATTGATCTTGTGAGGCGGGGGCATCCCCCAGGGGGTCAGGATTGCAGCCTTTGCTCCCTCATTCTAAAGGAGGCCACTGCCACTGGAACCTGGGTTTGCCCCACTCCCACGATGCCAGCCCCAGGCTCGGGGAGGACGAAGATGACGGACAGTGAGAGCGAATGATTGTTGGGAGCTTGTGGGGAGGGCGGTGCTTCGGAACCATTTCCCCTCATCTCTAGCATGGCCCTTGGAAACTCAAACTTCTTCTTTCTTTACTATCAGAATCATTTCCTTCTCTTTGTTCCTTTCCTCAACCTCCCAGAACAGACCTGTCTTCACAACCAAATGACCCTTCAAAGTGTTAAGTTAAACAATAACTGCCTTTCTCCCCTAAAAGGCTTCCTACCACCAGCTTTTGCCTTGTGCTTTATTAGCACACGCATTGGTGTCAGTCTGGAAGGAGACTCCTAAGGAGCTAAAAGGGCTTGCCTTTGGGTGGTGGGGTTGTGACTGTTTTTCCCTTGTGTGTATTTTCTAATTTCCCTACAACAAACCCATATTTTCTCGTGTATTGAGAAAAAAGCAGTCACCACAGAAGCAGCCATTCTCATCCAAAGTATACCCAGAGGAGAGCTGCTTATGAGATGAAGGGCTAGAAAGGTGCTTTATGGGGTGCTGGGGCCACTGAAGCTGGAGAGAAGGTGGGCATGAGGGTGAGAGGGCACAGACCTCTCTGAAGCCAGCTGGGACCTGAGTGCAGCAGACAGAGGTGCGTGATCTGTGCTCCACAGGGTGAGCGAGTTCCAACCAGGAGACAGCATGAGAAGGCCGGTTTGGTCTCACTAGAAGGCGCTGTTCTACAATGGAACGGGCTGCCTATTAAGACAGCGAGCCCCTTGCCACATGAGATGTGCAAGCAAAATGGACAGTTGTCAAGAGGGTTAGAGAGATGTCTAGGCTGACTAAGAGAATGGATTAAGGGTCTCTGAAGTCCCTTAGAGCAACCCAGAGTGAGTTTTTAGTCTCCCTGACTGAAGTGTCAAAGGAGCTCAAATGCTATTTCTGACATTGGTGGCAGAGAGGGTGATCAGGGAGGACTTTCTGGAGGAGGAGGCCTCCAGCTTCCCATCATCCCCGTAACCCTGCTGCCCTAGCCCTCAGCCAAGGGGAAGATCAGAAAGGGGGCTGATGTTGCTATACATTGTTTTTCCCATGGTGATGGGGGCATACAACTGAGCTCACCCCAGAACCCCTGAACACCTCCTCCCCAGGGGCCTCTGGGAGGGGTCTCAAGTCCTCGCCTCCCTCCCCAGGCTGCCCTGGCCCTGCCCAAGAGGGACTGTGCCCTGATGAGGCAGGGAAACTTGGGGTGAGGTAAGGCCCTAGAGACAGATAAACAAGCCAGCGCTCATGCGCAGATGAACTCACTCAGGGTAGGACAGTGTTAGGGCACAGGCTGAGAGGTCCAGCAGGCCTGCTCTGAATCACCTGCTGAGTGACCTTGGGCAAGTGGTTCCACTTCTCTGGGCCTATGAGGATGTGGCTGTGAGGATGAAATGAGATGCCCTGGATGGCGATGAGCTCATGGCTTCCTTTTTTTCCTCACACACACAGCCACTCGGAGGCGGAAACAAACCGCAGAGCCCCGCAGAGGTTCACCCCAGACCTGCCTACCTGTGTCCCCCAAGCCCCCAATCTTTCCTCTCCCACCCCTCGGCGTCCTCGGCTGCCCCCACGCGGCCCTTGTCGGTACTGCAGCAGCCGGCCCTGATCACCCAGTCTGGGCCCCCCGCATACCTTGATGCGTTGCAAAGGTGAGGTATGGAGACATCTCCTGGTCTCTGGCGGGCAAGCCCTGGTCTTCAAAACTTCAAAGACTTGTCGTCATTCTCAGAGCCCAGCCTCAACCCTAGGTATGGCTCCGGAACCTCCTTGCTGGTTCCAGGCCAACGGTAGGAGCCCGAGAAGCAACACTGAGCCCTGCTGGCTGGGGTGGCCAGTGTGGGCAGGAAGGAGGCAGGCATAGTAGTGCTTGAGAGAGAAGTTCACAAAATGATCCAGGGCCTCTGGGAGTGTCCAGACACACGTGCAAACACCCACATGTCCAGGCCTCCGCGTGCACACATGCACACGGGCACACACCCGCAAGCACTGAGCGCCAGTGGGCGCGCACTGTCCCTCCCACACATGGGGACATCACCACTCAGTCAGCGCCTTTTTCCAAGCAGCCATCCCTCTGTCCCCTGTGTTCCCCCTCAGCCCACCTCCTGCCCACGACCTGAGGAAACCAGTGATTACTGTAAATTGAAAACACAAACTCCTTTCAATGGCCTAAAGCCCTGGATCACCTAGCCCACTCAGACCACATCTCCCACCTCCAGCCGCTCCCCCATTACTCACTATTTCTCCAGCAAAAACAGGCAGCACTCAATCACACTGCAGGTCCCCAGTACTTACTATTTCCTCTCCCCAAAATGTTCTTCCTCCAGATCCTCCATGGCTGCCTCCTTCCCTTCTTTTAGGTCTCAGTTTAAATGCCACCTTCTTCCAGAAAACCAGAGCTAAGAGGCTCCCCTCCCTCCATTCTCACCAAACATGTCTCCTTCAAAATGGATATTCTGTTCATTAGAGAAATACAAATCACAACCATCTGACATCCATTAGGATGACTACTGAAAAAAGAAAATGCAGAAAATAACAAGTGTTGGTGAGGATGTGGAGAAATTGGAACCCTTGGGCACTATTAGTGGGAGTGTAAAAGGGTGCAGCCACCATAGTAAACAATATGATGGTTCTTCAAAAAAATTAAAAATAGAGGGGAGAAGATACAGCTTAGTGGTAGAGTGCATGCTCAACAAGCTTGAGGTTCTGGGTTCAATCCCCAGTATCCCCAGTAATAAATAAATAAACAAATGAAACTAATTACCTCCTCCCCCCAAAAATGTTTTTAAATAAATAAAAATAAAATAGTTGACCAAAAAAAATTTTTAATTAAAAATAGAATTAATAACAATTTCACAAATCCACAAATGACAAATGCTGGA